TTTTAAAAAAAAAAAAAAAAAAAAAAAAAAAAAAAAAAAAAAAAAAAAAAAAAAAAAAAGAAAATCAAGGATAAAATTCTACAAGTTTTAAAAATGAAAAGAGCAGATCACTTACAAAGGAAAAAGAATCAAAGCGATGTTAAATGTCACAAGGCAGTGCTGAATGCATGAAGGAATGAGTTCATATTTTCAGTGTTGAAGAAAAATAACTGAATTGCATTTGCAGTTTTTCTTTTGTAAAAATCGCTACGCTGCTATGGTTTTCTAAAAACTTTTAAAAAATTAAACGTATCATTCATAGAGGAAAGTGCATAATCATAAGTACACAACTGGAATTGTCATTGAGTAAACATACTTAGGTAGCAGAATCCAGATCAAAAAATGTTACTAGCTCTCCAGAGCCTGTTCCACCCGCTTTGCCTACCCTTTCTGCCACACTACTGCACTCCCACCAGGGGAACCACTCTCCTATTTCTAACACCATAAAGAAGGCTTGCCTGTTTTTGAACTTTATGTAAATGGCATCAGGAGTATATTTGCATTTGTGTCTGGGTTCTTTCAACAGTAGATTTGAAAAATTCATGCATGGGCCGGCCCAGTGGCGCACTGGATAAGTGCGCCGCTTGGGAAGCGCGGCGGCGCTCCCGCCCGAGGGTNGAAAAAGACAAAAGACAAAAAAAAAAAAAAAAAAGAAAAATTCATGCATGCTATCGAATGTAGTTGTAGTTCATTCATTCTCCCTGTGGTATATAGTATCCCATTCTATAATTACTGTATATCACAATTTATTAACCTATTTTACTGTTAACGGGCATTTGTCTGTTTTTCAAATTAAAATTATTTTTACTTTTTGTTTTGTTTTGTTTTTTTGTTTTGCTTTGGTTTTTTTGGTGGCTGGTCATTACATATATCTGAGCCCTTGACCTTGATGTTACAAACACCACAGTCTAACCAACTGAACTAACTGGCTAGCTCAAATCAAGGTTATTTTTAATAGTGGTGCTATAAACATTCTTATACATGGCTTTTCATAAGCATATGTACACTATTCTACTAGATTACATTTAATTTTTGGCCTTAATATATTTTCCTATCGTTTTATTTTTAACCTTTCTCTATTCTTTTTTTCCAACTGTGCAGATATTTTGTTGGACCTTGATTTTTTAAAAAATCTACTGAAATTCTTATTCCTAGATTTTAAGAGCAAAATCTTATAAAATGATAGAATAAAAAGATATTATCAAGCATATAATCCTCAAAAAAATCATTACATCAAGACTCTCCTTGAAAGCATTTTCAAAAGAAGTATTTTAGTAAAAGGAAAATTAATTCAGGAGGAAGCTACAAGATATATAGAAAGATTAAATAACTCTAAAATATATTATTGCCTAAAAAAAGCAAGGTCCCCAAAATCGTGTCTCCATAATAAAATAATTAAATAATTCAGACCTACATGGAAGGAGGACTGAGGTTAGGAAATGAGATTATGAAAGGTAGAGAGAATTATGCTACGGTATATATTTTGGAAAAGATAAGAAACTGACTTTTAAAAACGAACATACATATTATCCTTAGTAAGTTATAAGACAGAAAAATAAGCATAAAGTATGACTTAAACTAGCAGAAGAATATTTAGACTAATGG